TTGATTTAGTGCAAAATAGAGAGTAATTGAATGTGAAAACTCATTTTTGATGGAATGGAATATTCTATTTAGATGTCCGGGCGTGTCCGCATGTGTCATTACTTTGATATCAACTGAATGCTGTTTCTCATTACCCTAATTAAAGCTCCTCGTGTGCCGCTGAGCATATTAGCACACTGATCTGCAGCGAAACTACGGATCGGCTGGTTGATGATGTGTCTTTTTCTCCCCCTCAGCCTCTCTCTCATCTCACTCTTAATGATTATTATCAAAGATTCAGATCCTCAGTCAATCATCATCAGAAGCTAAAAAGATCTATATATATACTTATACTTAGAAGTATATATATAGATATATACATCGATATCTATATATACTTAGTTTAACTAGGTTTAACTGTTCAACTAAATTAAAATACAATGCATTCCTGTTTATAATGGGCTGTTTGCTCGCCCTGTGGTAATGCTGGTTGCAGCTTTCTTTCTGAAACGATTTCTGGAATTATTCAATAAAAGATAATAACATCAATAAATATGTGGTACAAGGGAGTAATTAGATGCAAGGTCAAACCTAAATATTAATATGTGACTTTTCCGCTTTCTAAAAGGCAACTTGTCAGATTTTGTTGTCACTTTGATGCCACATTTCTCCCCAAACCCGCAGGATAAAACTCACAAAGTCACAGCAACGATCACAAGCTTTGATCTTTTTGTTTTGCACTTTGATTTGGTCCAGTTAGAGATTTCACCAATGTTTGTTTCCTGCAAAATGTAAGAAGATGAGTAAATCATCGCCTCTGAGCAACACAACGGGCATAAGCAATATGCCAGCTGAAACCAGCTCAAGGGGGCAATTAAGAAAATCGTAAACATTGATTGTACTCGTGGAGGATGGATTTGAGCTGAGGCTTTTCCCTGCAGCTATACCTGCTGGTTACATTTTAACAAATCACACAGAGAACGCAACAATGCAGATGAGCGTTAACATTAAACCTCCACCCAATCCCCTCAAACCCTCTTTACATCCATGATAAAGAGCTCACATAAGAGGGCATACTGTCCCTCCCTGACCCCTGCTAATGCACACTAACTGTATCTACGGCCCATTATGGAGGCAAAGCAAGAGCAATGCTCTGTTTAATAGCCTCACATACTCATGTCATCTGCCTTAAGTATTGTTAGTTTAAGCTCGTCATTTCATAACAGCCTTTATGTAAAGCTGGTGCATGTGTGCATGACTGTGTCTGTTTAAAGACTGCTAATGTACAGCAGTGATGGCAGCACGCACGCACACACACACACATACACACACGCACACACGCGCACACACACACAGATGATTTCCACAGAAGAGCCTCAACTCTGAGAGAGAGAGGTGGAAAGTGTCAGGAGCTTAAAAGACACCGCACAATAAACACAACTACAAACTCTGTCCGCTTTTGTCCATTGTACAAAAAGGGCCTGAAAAACATCTACACACCTACATTCACACCCACAAACATTTACACACAACTGCATGTGCACCTACACAAGCACTCTCACACACACATATGTCATATTTGAAGTCAGAGAGCAGCACGAGCAGATCAAACACGAGATTGTTGTCAAGGCCCATATAGATGTATGACTGAGCTATTTTATGGGGCCTCTTACACTCACATACACACACATGCACACACACACACACACACACATTTCTTCTGGGACCCAGAGAGCTTTAATGACAACAAGCTGCACTAAGAAGGGGTAAGGCAGGAGAGTCAGTGTTCAGAGGCCACACACATAATACAGATTCTCTCTCTCTCTCTCTCTCACACACACACACACACACACACACACATACAGACACACACACAGACATGAGGCTACTCATCTGCACTCATACACACAAAAGAGAGCGGATAAATTCAGTTCATGCTCGCACATGCATTGGCAGGCAAAGTTACAGGCTCATACACATTCACGGATGAAAAGCTGACATACAGATGCAGGTTTTTTAATATATAGATGGATATGCGAACACACACACACACACACACACACACACACACACACACACACACACACACACACACACAGAGCCGAGAGGGAACACTGGGGAAGGTAGGATCCAATTTGATTTGACCTTGACAGCACAGAGGTAGGGAGAGATGGAGGGAGGGCTGGATGGAGTGTAAGGAATGAAGTGATGGTCTGGGCCAGATGCCTGTTGCAGATACTTGAGAGAAATGAGATGACCTTTAACTGATGGAGATAAATCATAGGACAAGAGACAGAAGTGTGACATGGGGACATCTGTAAGCATAAAACTACTTGACATGTATGAAATGCTGATGTTAATCTTACATACATGTGCATGAACATTTATTCTGTGATAAACCTTAAATCATACATTTTGTTAGTTGCACATGCATCACAGACAAAGAACTTCTGCTTCCTCATTATTGCTTCAATGTGGAGAACGTTTTAAATAAAGAAAATATTTCTTTCAAGTATAAATCTGCAGTGTTAATAGAAAATAAATTATGAAAATGGTGCCAGCAACACTGGCTGTCAAAGTTTCTTTAAAGCATAATTCATCTGAAGAATAAAATGTTTCAAGAAGATACATTTGCAGTGCTGTCATTTTAATTCATCATTCTGAGGGAAGAAAATCTAATACACACAAAAAAAAAAAATTCACCATGACAATTACCATAAGTCTTTGAATTTTATTTTAGGAAAAGGAAACTTAGAGGCACCATGGTTTATATTATCAAGTGTAAGACATGCATTTACTCTCACAGATTAGCAAACAAAAAGGCGTGCTTATCGCCGCAGATGCTGTTTATTACGAACAAATTGCAGATGTGCGTTAACAAACAGTTCCCAGCTTCTGTTTGTTCGTCTTGGAGCACATTCCTAAAAACATCAGGCAGCCCCCAGATGTGGATGTGTGCAGTTCTGAGATCAGCAGATAAGTGGGTAATGTCGACAAGCTGCAAAAACAATCTGCACATAACATCTGCAAATGAATCACGCAGCTAATTGGAAATATTAATTTAATTTTCTAAACTAAAGCTGAAAATCTTCAGTAATAAATGTGTTTAAGTCACTTTTGCAGAATAACAGACTGTAGTCAGTGACCGTGCTCCATTACTTTGATGAGTATCTCCAGATAAAATTCCAGACCTCTGTCTGATTTACTTCATGGTAAATAAACTGCACTTATGTAGTGCTTTTCCAGTCCTTTAAACTAGGAGTCACAATCACCCAATCTCAGTGCTATATATATATATATATATATATATATATACACACAAACACTTGATGGATCACATCACAAACAGCCGTCAGGGGCAATTTAGGGTTCAGTGTCTTGCCCAAGGACACTACAACACACGGACCGTAGGAGTGGAGGATCCAACCTTCCCATGAGAGGACGACCTCTTTCTACCTCTGCAGCTGCCTCACCCTCACCACTGCTCCTTCTCCACCGCCTCTCACAAGTGCAGCAATCGTCGTAAAGTGACATTATCCCCCAACTTGCGGTGGTGGGGTATGTGTCATAAAAAGTTAACAAGCAGTGAAAACATCTTCAATATGGAACCATTTTTAGCAGAGAAATGAAAGCGGGCCCAACATCCACTAGTAATCGTTTCTTTGTTCTCTTTAACGGTAACAGCTTCTTTCAACATGACACATTTAATAGTGATTGTCTTTTAAATGTTATTTTTAGAATGTTCTGTCTTTTTTAGTCAGTGGTTTTGAAATTACGAGAGATATTTATACTTGGGTTTGGGTGCTATTGCTGTAATATCCTCCCTACACTGTATTATTTTTACTGATTGTATTGTACCAGATGTGCTCTTTCCTCTGTGCTCACAACTAAATAACCCAGATTGGCCTCTAAGTGAAAACTTGATTGAAGCTACTCCACAAATGTGTAGTAGATTTGTCAGTTTCTCTGACTCCACATTCACACTAGATGTTTTGCTCTTGGCCTGCAAAGGCATCGTGCAGTTCATCATCAGTTTGGCTCAAGGTTCAACATATTAGAGTAGAGCAATCATTCCTTTACCTGCTCTTCCCACACCGTGTCCGCCCGATAGCGTGATCTCTCCATTCTCGCAGCATCCCACTCCTTCACCTTTATCTGTGCTTCTCCCTCCATCTCTCTCTTTTGCCAACTGACATATACACATTTACTAAATATTGAAGCAAACCTGCCAAACCTTCACATTTACTATCACAGAAAAAAACAACAATGGATCAGGGCAAACAAAGGGAATGACAGACCCGGGTGATACAATGCAGGAGGGATTGATCAGGCCTGGGTAATCCATTTTCCTCTTGGTTGTGGAGGACTCAGACAGAGAAATATCTTGTGTGTGTCAGTATATGAGCATCTGCGGGTGCATGCTATGTGTGAGTAAGTATTGGACTGAAACAGAACAAAGACCACAAACTGGGCTCAGGCTTCTTGGTAATCGGAGACGTATATCAGGTTCCATCAATCACAAACATGCTGTGACAGGCTGAGGAAGGCCGGTGAATGGAAGGCGTGGAGTGCGGGGGGTGTGGGGGTTGGCGCAAGAGCGGGAGAGGGACAAAGTCAGAGAGAAAACAAGAGCTGAGGGGAGGGTGGGCCTCATGCCCTGAACTTGAACTTGGAGCTGGTGAGGTCGGAGATAGAAGGATGGGGTCAAGCGTTCAGTCTGGATGGAAAAAGGAAACAAGACAGCTGAGTGACACCAATATCCCCCCGCTCGGAGACGGATACGGAAGAGGGGGGACATGGGGCCATTTAGCAAGCTGTCTTCTGAGGCAATGTCAACATCTATCTCTGCAATTTTTACCCAAACTGTGTAAATTCTGGCTGTTCTGGAACTCGTAGGGATAAAAATAGAAGAGCGGCAGATATTGAGAACAGTTTAAAGATCAAATAATACTGTGAGTTCAAACCACACAAACACTTTGCATTTGAGGCATAAAATAGGTCAACCCGGCTGACCATCTTACCTTGGTCTGGAGATAGTGGGGGTAGTAGTAGGTGTAGTGGGGGTACATTGGCTGCTGCTCCAAACGTTTTCCCATGTAGCTGGAATCCAAATGAAGGTCCTCGAGGCTGGAGATAGAAGCGTGCAGGTGGGATACGATCACTCCAAAAGGGCTGGCCTGGATCCTTTAGACGACTGTTTCCAAGAGTCAGAGGATGCAGAGGGAGAACGCTCTCTTGCTGAGGTGTGTAAAAAAACGCGAAGAGGAGGGGAAGGATGGAAGGAGAGATAGTACTTGGGATGTTAGTCTGTCTACTCGTCTGGGAGGTCACAGGGGAACCTCACAAAATCATCCTTCTCCTGGGTCTGGAAGAAGAGACAGAGAATCTCGAGAGGCAGCAGAAAAAAAAGGGGATCTGGAGGGAAGATGTGAGAGGATAGCAGACTTGATGCAGGAAACAATAGGAGAGATTTGATAGCAGGATGGAGAGAGGGTAAAAGGAGAGGGAAGAAGAAAAAGAGGATGATGTGGAGGAGGAGGAAGGAAGGAATGGATGGGATTCCTTTGCCGGTTCCTTGCACTCTCCGATCTAAAAAAAATCAGACTCACTTCTTCTCTCCTGCCCTGAACATGCCCCTTCAATTTGCTTTCCAGTCTCTCCTTCTCTCTCTTTCTGTGTATCCGCTTCCCCTGTCTCGTTCTTCCTCTCTGTCACACACAGACACCAGACGAGACCCTGATCCCACCGGGAGCTTGGCTGAATCCTGGAGAACACACGCTGTCCTCTGCTCTATTCTCACAAGACAGTGGAATCAGCGATGAACTCACACATGGATGGAGGAGAGGATGAGGAGGAGGAGGAGGAGGAGGAAAGAGGGTGGTCTGGAGCTGAAGCTGTGACTGCCTTTTTTCTCACTCTCTCTCTCTCTCACTCCCTCCCTCTTTTGTTAAGCTCTGGGGATAGATAGGTAGATATCGCTGGAGCCCGGCGTGGAGGATGAGCAAAAGAGAAAAAGGCTCGGCAAAAAGTCCTCTTGCTCAGGAAGAAGCAGACAGCCTTATCCTGAGGAAAATCCCTTCTGATCCACAAGGTGCCTCCTCCAACTCTCTTTTCTTCTCTTCTCCTCCCTCTGCGATCCCTCTCTTTCTTCTCCAGCTCTCTCCCTGACGGCTTGCTTCCCACTGTGCCTGGCAGCCGTCACTGAGTGTGTGTGTGTGTGGTATGTGTGTGACTGTGCATGTAACTGAGAGGGGAGTGTGTGTGTGTGTGTGGCTGTTGCCGTCTGCTCCACTGTGCGTGCTGAGGAATAGAGGGGCTCGGCTTCAGCGCAGCAACGCTCCTCCCTCCCTCTCTCTTTTCCTCGCTCTGTCTGCCTCGCTCGCCCTCTGTGTTTTTCATGGAACTATAGAACAGTGGGAGTGGTTGGTCCTGCCCTCGTTAAAGCCCTGGGGTGACTCTGAGTGTGTGTATGTGTGTGAGAGAGAGACAGAGATGGGCTGTTCTTTCTGGCAGCAGGGTGGAGGTGGGGAGGGAGTGTAAAGAGCAAGAGCTGGAGTAAAGGGTGAGAAGAGGATACACATGGAGAAGAATTTGGAAACAGAGAGGCCCCCCTACTGGCATTCTGTAAGGGCAGCAAAGACACATTTTCCATGATAAAAGTCTCGGGATTCCTTAAACTGAGCTCTTGATGTTCCATTTGATCTGAACTATAATACAACATCGTGCAATCGGATTATATTCCAAACAAACACACATGCATACAGATCGGAATGACGCTCTGAAATTTGTGTCTGAACGCTTGACTGCACACCGTGATGCTCCATTCACACATGCCCAGTGAAGGGCCCCAAGGGCCCAATGTAGAGTGTATGTAGCGTGGCGGTTAGGTGGCACAGTGACCCACTGACACAGTGCTGCCTGTTATGTGATGTAACCAGGTTTAAGTAGTGCTCTTACATAAGCACAGTGAGCCAGGCATGAAAAGACTTCTCTGCCCTCTGACTGCAGCTGTGCGTGTGTGTGGGGAAAGAGACAAGGGTTGGCAGACAAAGCAAGTTCACTGCAGTGGAAAAAGGGGCACGGGAACAGAATGCAAACACAGAACAGAACCTCCTCCAAGATAAGGGCTTCACTTCTCGTGGGCAATTAAAACTACTTTGCAGACCGTGATGCAAAAACGCATCACGGTCTTTGAGCTATTGTGCGCCCGTCTGAGGGTTTTCTGTCACTGTGCCCGTGTGTGTGTGTGTCTGCATTTTTCACAGCATTCTTCTGTCAGCTTATACAATACACACTAATGATATGTTTGGCTCAGAGGTATACTTAACGACAAAACATCTTCCAGTGCAGCATATAGAGGGCTGTTGTGTGACATTAACAAAGCAAACAGCATAGAGTTAGGTCAGGTGCCTGCAACACATTGTCTCGCGGGGACGTCTCAAAGTTCTCAAAGAGGATTTTGACAATTCTGCTTGTTCCACCACTCAACAACAAAACCATCAAATGTATTTGATCAGATTGGGATGAAGCAGAAGAAATAAGAAATTAAACTTTCACCAACTCCCTTGAAAAATAGCAGGAGTGTTCTTAGTTAGAATCCATGGAGATACATGCTGCACAGCATCAGGAGAATACGTCCCCTTCTCACTCAGAAGGCGGCACAGGTTGTGGTCCAGGCTCTGGTCATCTCACCCCTAAACTACTGTAACTCCCTCCTGGCTGGTCTGCCTGCAAGTGCTATCCGACCTCTGCAGCTCATCCAGAAGTTGCAGCAGCTCGACTGATCGAACTTACCTAAGTTCTCTCACACTCCTCCGCTCCCCCTTCACTGGTTACCAGTGGCTGCCCACATCCCTTTGAAAACACTAGTACTTGCATACTGTGCTGTGAACAGATCGGGTCCAGTCTACTTCCAGGACATGGGCAAACCTTACACCCCCCAGCCTGTCCACTCTGCTCTGAATCTGCCAATCAGCTTGCTGCCCCCTCACTGCGAGCAAACCACTCAACAAAATCTCAACTGTTTCCTTTCCTGACTCCTAAATGGTGGAACGAGCTCCCCATTGACATCAGGACAGCAGACAGTCTACACATCTTCTGCTGCAGAATAAAAAGACACATCTCTTCTGAGTACACCTTGGTGTGTTTCATTGCACTTATATGGCACTTACATGTAGCACTTGTAGTTTGGCTTTATTTTTAGGGAAATTGTACTTAATTGATTCTTGCTGTTCTGGGTTTGTCTTATTGTAAGTCACTTTGGATAAAAGCGTCAGCTAAATGAAATGAAATGTAATGTAATGTAATGAATCCCAGTTCAGCCTGGGTCCTCTCTGTGTAGAGTTGGCGTGTTCTCCCACAGTCCAAATACTTGGTTACTTGAAGACTACTAACCATAGGAGAGAATATGACTGTGACTGCGATTGGCTCCAGCTCCCACAATGACCCTCAAGAGGATAAGTGGTCTGAATGATGGATGGATAAACTTTGCTATAATACTCTGAGAACGACAGTGTTTACATTTCCACTAGAAAACAACTGCGAAACTACAGATGTGTCCCCATAGTTTACCACCAGCTTGATTGGGTTTCCAATTAATCAATAGAATTTTTGGACTTAACTCTCCCCTTGTCTTACCTCACTGGTGTGTGAAGGCAGCTCTCACAGTCACAGTATAACAGCTACACCGTGCCTGGAGGCGAGCCTGGACTCCTCTCTGAGAATCCCTTTTTTCATTTTCATTTGATCTGTATTGTCTTGTTAGCTATGTGACACTAGTAAACCTATGTAATTGTCTATTTGTGTAAATATTGGTTATGTCTAATTAGGTGGTGTGCTGTTTTATTTGTATTTTGTTTCTTGCTGTTAATTACTGCAATGGTCACATTTCCCCATGGGAACAATTAAAGTTGCTTTACTCTGGATACGCTCTCTGATCTATTGTTCTTTGCTGTATATTTGCTGTAGTATAACCTTGAATTTTGCTGATGCAGTGCCAGTGGCTTTTACATGGATTTTAAAAGCCATCTGATGAACCTTGTAATAGAAAGTTTTATGATCATAATTACCGGTAGCAGCAGCAGCAGCAGCAGCAGCAGCAGACATTTTCTTCCACCCAAAGGAGTGCAGGCAGGAAGTTAGTCATCAGGTAAATGGCTGTTCAGCCTACATCTGATACAGTGGAGTCAAAGCTGCTCTTGTAAGTGGAAGTCAAGAAGTGGCTCAGCCAGGGCACATATCTGTGGCAGTCAGGTTGAAGCTATCAGTTGAAAAGAAGTTAAAATAAGCCCAAATATATCAGCATTAGTTAATCAATACGATTGAGAGATGTTTTTTATTGAAAATGTAATGTGAGATATTATTGTATGAAACACCAACCCAAACCATCATCTGGTGCAAGAGACAGTGATCACAATCTACCAGGTAAATGTAAGTTATTTAAAAGGTTATTGAAAAAATTACTGAGGAATGAAATGGCGATACAATTCTGTATCACTAATATAGTGACCAACATTATCACTTATTAGTACTATCGTGGTTTTGTTAAGTACTGAAAATTATCAAAAAGTAGCCTACCGTTAGAAAAACGAATACAATTTCAACAAGTTTCATGTTTAAATAATATATTTATCATTAATACAATTATTAATAAAGCACCGACACTGCATACATTGTGCAATATCAACCTTGAAAAATGAAGGCTTTAGCTTGCTGAAGGTTTTTCTTGTTTTATAATCAATTTCTTCTCTTATAATAATACAACCATGTGTAAACAACAACATAACAAGCAGAGCGGAGGAGAGAATGTTCGCAGCTTGTTACGTTGAAGTCTGATAAATGAACGCAATTTGGTGTCAGTGGAATTTGGGAGTTGCTAGCTGCGGCCGTGCAGAACACTAGCAGCTCATGCTACCTAATCACCATGGTAATAAGAATTTAAGATTCAAATGGTACAACTAACCAATCAACACTTTTACCACAGTATACATGAAACCTGGAACTGTTTCATAAAGGAAAGATAATCTTAAATGGCTAAAAAATAAATTGTTTGAAAACTGCTTTCAAGAGGTAGAGGTAGAGGTGGTGGAAAAGTCAATCAGCTTACTACTTTACTCCATGACCCCATGATACATAACTTTGGTAAAGATCATAACTGTCCTATATTTAAATAATAAAAACAACCCCTACATGTAGATATATTTGGATATAGTTTGTACATTCTGTGTTAGGCACTGCTTTGTGAATTATACGAGTCATGATCTACACTCCTCAGAGTCTCTGCATTAGCTCAACCTTCAGTAATTTGAAGCTTGAAAACAAGCATGTTGTTGAGCTGCTGCAGGAAAAAAAAATAGGCTTTATTGATTAATTTGCACTTGCAGTTCAGGAGTGAGCGTTCCTGCATCAGTCAGAAGGGTTGTATGCGCACAAAGCTTAGCAGTTTGATGGAAGATGGTTATACATTCATTCAACAGCACGAACGCGTGGAATGCCGAACGACAGAGGGATACAGGGAGATTAGGTTAGTGTGTGTGTGTGTGTGTGTGAGTGTGTGTGTGTGTGTGTGTGTGTGTGTGTCTGCTATATGAGCAGCCAAAGTTTTCATGAAAAATTAAGATTCTGCTGACGCCACAGTTTGGGGAAACAAAGAGAAAGAATTGATTCCTCCAACTGCATTATGAGAGGCACAATCTTTACATCTCTCCCTCTATTTTCCGCTGCCACAATAAAGCTGCATAATTAGTGACAGTACAGTCATTTTGGTGGTAGTAAATACACACTTGTTAATTGTATTAATTTTAATATCACACAGACTCCTATTGCATCCTAAGCATAAATTGAATAGTCGAATTCTTTCTAAGGACTCCATGTGCTGTCTGCTGCATCTGCGTTTCTTTGCAAAAAAGGACCTTTTTCTTGGCGGAGACGCTGCTTCCCATGTCCAGTGCTTGACAAAATACCAGACAAAAACTGACAGCTGGAGCGAAATATCAAAGTGTTGCCATTGACACTGTTGGTTCTTACAGTCCCCGGTCATCAAAGCAGTTTTCAAATGGAGCAGGAAAGGCCATGCTGTGACTCTCATGTGTTTCTCTCATCGCTGACCACCAGATGTATAACAAACACAGAGCCAGAAAAAAAAAAACAGAAGAGTAAAAGCCTCACGTCTTAGCTCAGATACAGCTGGGAAAACAGAAGAGGTCATGATGATGATAGGCCT